TTCTTCTGAGAAGTTTTGAAGATATGAAGCATCTCTCTCTCTCTCTCTCTCTCTCCTTTCTGATTACCATGTGAGCTGCTTCGCTCCACCACACTCTTTCACCATGATGTTCTCAAGCCCCAAGGAATGGAGCTGGCCTTCTATGAACTAAGACCTCTGAAACTGTGACCGTGTGCTCTTATATAAACTTTTCCTCTTTTAATATTGTTCTCGTCAGATCTTTTAGTCACAGCAGTAAAAAAGTGGACTAAAACATACATGTACAAAGGAAGTCCTTACAAACATTGGAAGAGAAAATGAAGTTAAAAAATAAAAAGGAAAAGGGAACACTAATACTTAGATACTATAGAATATGTAGTCCACATCCTGCCAGTCCTCTTTTCATATTTTTCTTAGTTCTAGTCCAAATGTCTCATACTTTTTCTCTTCAAACTCCTTAGAAGCTTTTACAGCTGTGTTCAATACTCAAAGAAAATTTCACAGCATACCCATCTCTTTCTTTAGTAGGCAAAAACCATGTTATTATTTGGATGTGAGGAAGAGAATAACAAAGCTGTTTTAGGGTAAGAATGATGAGTATTCTGATAGACTACTAGTGTGGAGACTCAAGATTCACTCTCTCCCATTAGTCTTGCCGAAATTTTGATTCAAATAAGTACAGTAGGAACTTAATTATATGTCCTGATCTTTGGGGCTTCATGAAGAATAAAACCAAAATTACTGATTTTAAATTTATAATTCACGAGCTAATTACTAGACCACAAGCCAAAATATTTTTGACTCTTAATAGTGCTGTGCTTGGCATATTTCTGCAGCATTTAGACATGAATTTTACAGAACAGCAAAGATAAGCCTAAAGTCATTTTCAATATTAAAAAAAAACTAAGGAAGATCTATTTTCCAAGATTCACAATGAAAAAGAGAACTCTATCTAGAAATAAATTTAATGAGCATACTTACTTGTTAAAATACATAAAAGAAAAAGATATTCTGTGTAAGAAATCACACCTAGAAGAAAAATAGTATCAATTATGCTATATACAATATTACTTATCCTCTCATGTATTAAATTAAAATATTCTACTAGCAAAAGACATTGTAAATAAGCAGATGCTAATTATTGTTTTAAAGGAGATTAAGCTATATAAAAAACCTGCAAAAGAAGCAGCAAAATTAATTTTAATTTAGTTGTTCCACAGACCACTTTGGAAACATATATTAAATTCCCATTAATGCTCTCAAATATATTGGCAAAAAAAGGGAAAATTATAATTTCACTTATAGTTGTAATTTTTAAACTTATGCTATTTTTCCATGTATGAACCCAACATGAAACTAAAAAAGGCAGAAATGATTAATACTGCAAAAAGCTTTATTAATATTTAGTAACACTTGGATAAAACATTAAGACATCCTTCCTTAGAAACCCAATTTTTATACTGCATTCAAAAAATAAGACTTATAGTCACCCAGTTTCCTGCTCTCTAATTATCATTTATTATTTTTGAAAAATAATATTTAAATGTACACTTAAGAAATTTTTAATTTAATTTAATGGATTACACTTTATGTACCCTGCACCCTGAGATTTCTGTAGCCCCATAATTAACTTTAAAAAGAGTCTGTTTGAAGTAAATAAAAGTATACATTGTTACTTGAATTCTTACTTTTGGACTAGAACACCCAAAACTAGAGTTAATGGTTTAATTGATCATCTAAGTAAAATACTAAGAAAATCATAATCAGAAATAAGTCTGCATTATTTATCTAAATAGTAGATAGTTTTGATGTTTAGTTAAAGGGTATTAAAAAATCTTTAAATAATCAGATTGTGAACTTTAAAGCTTCCATTTTATCTGATGTTCTTTGAGACTACTCTCTTTGTTACAGAACAAAGAGAAGAGAAGCCTCTTAAGGCAGTTTGTCAGAGACATGAAGGGAACTATCCAGGAAGCTCTGAAAGCATTCTCTTCTTTTGTTTATACTAGAACATGGTGACCTATGGACAGATAGTTCTGGTTGATTTCCATGAATGTTATGGGAGAAAGATTCTGAAATGGTCAATGTATATAAAGATACAATACTTAGATTCTGTAGAGAACACTCAAAAAAAAAAAAGAAAGAAAGAAAAACAAAAGAAAGAAAAAAACAAATGCCAAATGCAAGAGGAAAAAAGAGAAATGGGACTTGTTACCTCTATCATCCTATCTCATTGTTCTAATTCACCTGGTGGAGTACACAAGACTTGCTGGTTGGTAAAAAGAATTTTAATAACTACTATGCAATGTGTATTTGACAGTAAATTTAAGATTACCCTCAAAGTGAGAATTACTTAATAGTGTTTAAGTCTTGATTATGGTAAGCGCCTGTCTGTAGGGCTACATGCTTACTAAGGTGGCTTAATCTATAGGGAAGAAAAACAAAATGAAACTAATGATGTAATTTAATAAAAATGGTCAAGAATAACTGAAAATATCGCTGAATAGGAATTATAGATTCTTAATGCTTTCCAATAATAAAAATGGAAAAGTTTATAGACAAACCTTTCACTTTTTTCTAGGTTACTCAGGATAAATAAATAAATAAATGTGTGTATGCGTGTGCTTGTGTGTGTGTGTGTGTGTGTGTGTGTATTTTAAACACTAAGCATATAGTAGTGCTACAATCTTTAGAAACAGGATAAGATGTCAACTCGATTTCTTCTGAGAATTCAATAAAAAAAGTTTAAAGAAAGTTCCTTAAGGGGCTGAGGCTGTAGCTCAGTGGTAAAGTGCTTTCCTCACATGGGTGAGGTACTGGGTTCAAGCCTCAGCACCATATAAATAAATATACTATATGTTCATATACAACTAAATAAATGTTGTTGTTTTTTTTTTTTAAAAAATGAAAGCTCCTTAAAAAGCATAATACTGTTTAATTCCTGTATCACAATACATTATAGCTGGCTGTTATAACTAAGTCTATGTAACACGTTTTTATAAATACTGTATATTTCAAGGTTTTTTTTCTTATTGGGTAATATTTCAAGCAGATGAGCTTCTTCATTTTAAAATTAATCTTAAATAGCTCTAAATATTTACGTTTATAATTGCCCTGCCATTTAATCTCTGGGAGAAAAGAAAAAAGGCAAGTATCTCTGAGTTTCTCTACTTCACCTAGTCTGATGGCTCTAAAGCTTATTGAATCATAAATTGTCTTGACAATCTGAAGCATATGACATAGATACAAACTATCCTAGAAGGCAGTCATTGAATAAGTGCAATTATTTAAATTTAAATTAATCAAAGTCAAATAAAACTGAAAATTCAGTTTTTCAGTTTTGATTTATGCTAGCCACATCTAAAATGCTCAATGGCAACATTTGGCAGTGGATACCATAAGAAACAGCATAGAAGTAGAATGCTTTCTCCACTACAGATAGTTCTATTTAAACAGTACTGAATAAATGCTCTCCCTGAAAAGAAGAAAAATAGAAATATGCATATAACATGAGAAATATTAGGACATGCCTAAATTTAGAGCTTTCAGATTAAAGCTTTTCCTTAGCTAAAAAGAATTTCCTTTTTCTTTGCATTTTTTTCTGATTATGTCTGACTAGAATTATCTGTTCTTTCTGAGTTTTGAACATTACTGATCCTATCATCTTACCCTGTAATCTGTATGATAGTTTTTGAGACAACTTCCAGAAAAAAATTTTTAGACTGTTTAAAGACAATTTGGCCCAGGTTTCTCAAATATTTAAAAACCATAGTTTAATGTAAACTCTTAGCTGTTGCTTCTGTTTTAATTTTTTTATGTTGAGACAGAGTCTCAATAACTTGTGGAAGGTCTTGCTAAATTACCCAGGCTATCCTTAAACTTGGAATCCTCCTGCCTCAGCCTCCCAAGACACTGGGATGAAAAGTGTTTACCAACACACCCAGCAGAAATTTGAATTTCTAATTCTACTTTAAGTATATGAATTATAACTATATTCCTTCAAAGTATTTATCTTTAAGCTATGATAAGTATAATATTTTCAAACCAATATTGATTAGCAAAGATGAAAAAGAAAAAGATAACTGTTCATTTATTTTTTCTGCATATTCTTTTATTTAAAAATCTAAACAAGTATGTGTCATTTCTTTTTAAGGTTAAAGGTTTTTTAAGGTTTAATATGCATGTATTTCATTAACTAATTTTTCCATAAATGTGTACAAAAAGTATGTTGTAAAAGAAAACTGCAATAAAAGCCATGTAACAGGATTCCAAGCAAATTAATTTAGATATAGGATAATAATAATAGAGTAAATTAAGCAGGTGGATTTTGTAAATTTAGCTGCCAAAAGACATGTCTGATAAGTTTTTCATAGTGATTAAATTCAGGAATATCCATAATTCCTTAGAAGCAAAATGAAAGGAAGAAAAATAAATACTTGAAGATCTATTATTTTTAGCTTTTTTTAAAAAAATGTCTTTCTTTTGTAATACTAAGGATTAAATACAGGGCATCATGCAATTTAGGTGAGTGCTCTACAACTGAGCTACATCAATAGCTCAAGATCTAATTCTTTGAAGCATGCTTTATATTGTGGTAAATATAACTTGTGCTTTTCAACATGGTTTTTTAAAAGTATTTTTTTTAATTATGAAAGTTCATTCTGTCATTAAAAAATATGGAAGATTAAGTAATATACGTAAAAAAGATAACATAAAAACAACCACCCGTAATCATGCCACCAAAAATAACATTACTATCCAAAAGCATTCATGTTTTGGTGTTTTAGTTTTCAGATTTTTCTCTATATATTATATACATATATGCAATTTTAAAAATTACTACAGGTATGGGAGAAATATACACACATGAATAGTGTAATCAGCAGTGTCAATATTAAAATGTGTAAGTACTCAAATTAACTTACCTCTTTCTTTAAGATTTCGAAATAGCTTTGATGATCCCTTCCAAACTGGTGGTGTTTCTGAAAGCATTTGATTTAATTCCTATGACAGAAGGTGTCATATATGTAAATACTTTCTTAAAAAATAGAGTTAAAAAGTTGAATGTTCAAGCAAAAAAAATCATTTAAAACACCTGAAATGTGGTATATTTATCCTATTTTTGTCCTGCAGTTTATTCAACCACAAAATAACAATATTTTCCCACAGTGCAAATATAAAATAAATGATAAAGATCCTATAATGAATTAGAGCTACTCAAAATTTCAGATAAGTAACTGGAGTTATATATAGATAAGATAACCATATCAAGATAAAACAGTAAGTTTAAGTTCTGGAGTCAGTTATAAAGGAATAGTTTTATGAAAGCCACATGGATTTCTTCATCAAGGTCAATATGATCACCTGGCCTCATATTGTTCTTTTCAGCATTACTGGATTGAGGGGGTTTTGAGCAGAGGAGATTAATAAAGGAATATGCTAAAAAGGAATGAAGAGTATTTTTGTGGTGACTCAAAGAATAAGGACAACTGATAAAGTGGAAAGACAGGGATATTGAGTTGTGACCAGTTTCAAATTTTTTCAGATTTTAATTTAAATAGGAAAGAACACAGACTCAACTGCTATCTGGTCAGCTTTAAAAAAAAAACATACTGCTGGTGGGATATTATTAAAAAATTTAAATGTTTGTATCATTGCTCATGTAACAATTTTGAAGTATTGTGCATACTTCGTAAAAATTACTAAATAAAAACTGTAATTTGGTTAATTGTAAAGAATACTGATTAAAGGATTTGGTAAGATTACAGACTTATCTGAAATTTAAAAACCACTCTGCTTAGTAACACATTAAAAAAAAAACAGAGACCACTTCTATTTCTATATCTGATCCCTCTTACTCAAACTGTGTGGTTCACCAACAATCTGGATGTTACCTGGGAACTTGTTAAGAATGAATTTCCATTCCTATATCCAGACCTACTGAATCAGACTGTTTTTTCACATATCTCCAGGAAATTTGGGGCATATGCAGGTTTCAGAAACACTTCAAATAAATACTTCCTGATGTGGCAGTATCCGAAAATACTCTGTGGTATTTATAAATGATCATTGTTTTCCGATAACTTTGAGGAATTAAGATTTATTAAAATTTTTATATTTTGACTCATGATGAGAATCTCTCTCCTTATCCACAGGGCCTACCTTGTTCTCTTGTATGTAGCAGTGCTGTATAAAAAGTTAACTTGACTGACTTTGACCCTGGCCCCTAGGAGGGAGACTATAAATCTTGGATCACACTTGACTTTATGCTAAGAAAATGATTCAGGATGGGATCTGATCACCAGAAAGAACACTATGATTTGAAGTGACCCAGGCATAATGTCTTGAGAGGAAAAGGAATAGAAATTGAGTTCAATTATACATATGGTCAATGATTCAAATAATCATACTAGGTCATAAAACCCCAAGCTCAGTGGAGCTTTCAGGTTGGTGAACACCCCCTCATGAAGAGGGCAAAAAAAGCTCTTTGTCAGGTCCCTCCCAGACCTAACCCTTTGTCTCTTCATCTGACTGGTCTTAATTTGTATTTTTTTTGTAATAAAACTGTAATCATTAGCATAGCATTTTTCTGAGTTCCATTAAACCTAAGGGGAATTGTGGTAAGAAACTGTGGCAAACCCCTGGTTTTGTAGGTCAGAAATATGGTGCCTGGAGATCCCTGAACTTGCAGCAAGCATCTGAAATGAAGGAAGTCTCACTGGGTACTATGCCTTCATATAATCTCTTGGTGATTAGTGTCAGAATTAAACTGCAGTATTGCAAAAAGTATTGAATATATGTTTTCTAAGTTAAATTAAGTTTCCCAAAATTACAGATGCTTTTTAAGGTATTTATACAACCTTCTCAAATGAGTACAGTTTTTTAAAATTATACAGCTAATACATATACATCATAGGAAAATTAGTAAGCATAGATAAGAAAAAAATAATTATGATCCAAGATAAACACATGTAAGCTTTAATATTCTTTTTATCTGATTCTGTAGCTGGAAATCTTTATATAGCATTTGTTACTGCAAATATTAAATCTTCCTCCTTTTATTATTTTGGAACGTCCTCTTTTTAGTCCATATATTGTGGGCATATTTTCCTATCAAATATTCTTCATTTTCATATTAATGGCTTCATAGCAGTTGTCTATAATAGTAGTTCTAAAATTCATCTCTTTACATACTTAAAAAGACATATGGTTTATATGGGTAAATCTATTTTAAAGGATAAACAAAAATTTTTTAAATCACAAGAATACACAAGCATACATTCCATTAGCTGTCAGAGCAATGACGTCATCACCCATCATGCAGCCTCTTAGAAAAATCTACACTCTGAAGGAGTAAGAGTAAATAAAACAAGTATCTTTTCAGCATTGTAATGAAAATGACTTGGACCACATATATCCTTGAAAAGGTCATTGTATTTAAAGAACTACAGTCTATATTATTCTACAACTTGTCATTTTGCTTATCCTTGTATTTTCTAGGTCTATTCACTTCAATATATGTAGCTCTTATGTATTTATTTACCTTAATTCTATATTACTATATTTATCTTTGGTATGTCTGTTTTACAATTCTTTTTATCCATTTCTCTAATGACTGACATTTATATGGTTTCTAAATTCTGTTGGAATTTTTGTTAGTGTTGCACTAAATTTATGGATACATTTGGAGGAAACCAGTATCATTATGAGATAGCTTATTGTCATCCATGAATATAATGCTCCATTTATTCATGTCTTTTTTCTTTCTTTCTTCCTTTTCTTTCTCTCTTTCTTTTTTTTTTCTTTTCTTTTTCTTTCTTTTTTTTTTTTTTTTAGTTTGGGACTAGGGATTGAATACACCCAGGGGCACTTAACCACTGAGTTACATCCCCAGCCCTTTTTGTTATTTTATTTTGAGATAGGGTTTCTCTCCCAAAGTTGCTGAAGCTATCTTTGAATTGGCAATCCTCCTGCTTCAACCTCCCAGACTGCTGGGATTACAGGTGTGTGTCATAACGCCCAGCTCATTTACTCTTGTCCTTTTAAAAATGTGACTTAATAATTTCTTCCACGCTTTCTATTATTACACTTTTAAGTATATAATAATTCTTGTGAAATTCATTTATTTGATAATAATTTCTAATTGCCACTGCTATGGCAGAAGCCCCAAACCAGCACGTTAATTAACTTTGGTTCACTGATCTTACATTCAATAATAACCTTGAATTTATTTGAATAAATCTCTGCATTTTTAAATTTTTCTCTCAGGCATATTATGTGCTACTATTCCAATCATTGGATCCTTTCTCCCCCCCCTTTGTCATTTTGCATGTTATGGCTTGAATTGTGTCCTCCTTCCCCCCAAATTCATATGTAAAGTCCTAATTCACAATATTTCAGAATCTCGCTATATTGGAGAGGTATCCTTTAAAGGTAATTGTATGAGGTGGCCCTAATCTGATATGACCAGTGTCCTTATAAGAAGAGATTAGAACACAGACATGCACAGAGGAACAACTATGTGAAGATAGAGGGAGAATACAGACATCTAGAGCCAAGGAGAGAGGCCTCAGAAGAAAATGACCTGTTGATGCCCAGATTTTAGACTTCTAGCTTCCAGAACTGTGAGAAAATAAATGCCTGATAAGTTACTCAGTCTGTGCTACTTTGTTATGGCAAACTAGAAATATAAGCTAATGAGATGTAATACTTTGCTAGGCCTCTAATAAAATGTAGTGAAATAGTTGTGATAGCAGGTATATTTTTATTATATCTGACTTTAAAGAAAATGTCTCTAATGTTTCACCAGAAAAATGTGTCATTTGCCATAGACTTTTGAGGATTCCCTTTAGTTAAGGAAATTAGAAATGACTAAATCAAAAAATAGAAAATTATCAGTACATTAGTAGTCTCTCTAAGCCCCTCACTGATGATGTTACCCTTTACCTCCCCTAGAAGTAAAGGACATCTTGAATTTTATGTTAATCATTTCTCAGTCTTCCCACCTATGAATGCAATCCTAAGTAATATGGTTTTACTTTCCCAGTTTGGGACTTTATGTAAATAGGATTATATTTCTTATGTGAATTGCTTATTTTGTTTATCATTACATTTCACTGAGGTTCATCTAGTTATAGCATTACTACAATGCTTTTTTTCATTATTCTATACTATTTACCATATGACTATATCAAAATTTATATGTCTACTATTAATATTTATGTTATTTTATGCCATTATGAACAATCTACCAACATTTTTTGTGAACCTCTCCTGCATATAAGCAATGGTTTCTCTAGTTATACACACAGGTGTGAAATTAGTGGGTCATAAAGGACATTCAAGTTTAACTTTACTAGGTACATGTGTATGCATTGCTATAGAATTTAAACCCAGACATGTAATTGCAAAGTTCAGGGTGTATATTATCTTTAATTTCATCAGATAATACCAAATTGTTTTCCGAACAGGAGTATACCAATTTACATTTACAAATGATATTTACCATTGAGCTATAGCTTTACTAGTCCTTGGAATTCTCTACCTTTTTTATTTTCTGACAATATGGAGGATAAAAAAAAAAGAGTACCATAATGTGATTTTAATTTAAAAAATATATATAAATACATGTGTGTGTATGTGTGTGTTTGTATGCATATGTATATGAATATGCATGCATATGGATACCAAGAGCTTTAACTTACCTGTTTGGATAGCGACTTCCATGTTTTAGCAACTAAAATAAATATAAAATAATTAGATAATAAATACTCCATGTAATGTATATCCATATTCAGTAGCCATCTACAAGCATAACTCAAAGCCAGGCTTCTATGTCCAAAAAGCAAGGGTTTTTAAATCTCAAGATCTGAATTTAAGGTATGATCTTATCTGTTTCATATACTACAAACTGTTCATAATAAATATTATCAGTAGCATAGGAAATATTTTTCCATAACGAGATTGTTTTAGTTTGGTGATTCCTGAATATATTATTTTTTATTGATTAAAAAAATAAATTACAGCAGAATGCATTACTATTCTTATTACACATATATAGCACAATTTTTCCTGTCTCTGGATGTATATAAAGTATGTTGACACCAATTCGTGTCTTCTTATACATCTCTAGCAATTAGAGAAATGCAAATCAAAACTACTCTAAGAAATCATCTCACTCCAGTCAGAATGGCAGCTATTATGAAGACAAACAACAACAAGTGTTGGCGAGGATGTGGCGAAAAAGGTACACTCATACATTGCTGGTGGGACTGCAAATTGGTGCAGCCAATATGGAAAGTAGTATGGAGATTCCTTGGAAATCTAAGAATGCAACCACCATTTGACCCAGCTATCCCTCTCCTCAGGCTATACCCAAAGGACTTAAAATCAGCATACTATAGGGACACAGCCACATCAATGTTTATAGCAGCACAATTCACAATAACTAAACTGTGGAACCAACCTAGATGCCTTTCAGTAGATGAATGGATAAAAAAAAATGTGGCATATATACATTTTATTCAGCAATAAAAGAGAATAAAATCATGGCATTTGCAGGCAAATGGATGGCGTTGGAGAAGATAATGCTAAGTGAAGTTAGCCAGTTCCCAAAAACCAAATGCCAAATGTTTTCTCTGATAATAAGGAGGCTGATTCATAGTAGGATAGAGAAGGGGAGCATGGGAGAAATAGATGAACCCTAGATAGGGCTGAGGGGTGGGAGGGAAAAGGAGGTGGCAGGGTGATGGATTTCTGGATTTATAAGAAAGTGAATTTATTCCATATTAAACATGTTATGAGATTAAAAGCACAAATAATAATATTCATAAAATATTCATATAGGAATAAGATATATTAATATTCCTGAAAATAATTCATAGATAAGATCTCTCTAGGACAAAGAAGGATATGGGGAAACAGAAAAAGAGATGACAGAGCAGATAAAGTAAGAGGGAAACTCTTTTCGTGTTTTTTCATTCTTCTTTGCTACAGCTACTTAAGAAACATCTTGGAACACTAGTATTGTAGTTGAATAAAACATTTGGGATCACTTTCTTTTTCTTTTTCTTCACACCCCTGAAAATTGCAAGCATTATAAAACTTATATTCAATCATTATTGTTGAGTTTTTTGTTGTTTTTGTTCATATTTGAACATTATAAATATGTAATGCCTGCCTAAGAATTATTTCCAAATTGATTAAGTCTTATAACAGCTGCATTAAGAAAACTGGTATATATTATTTTAGCTTTATTACACTGATGACAACCAATCATTGTTTCTATATTGAATGGAGCAATGTATAATTAACAATACAGCAAATTAAAAATTACAAGAAAGGTACTTTTTTTTTTTTGCTATGCAACTCTTTTTAAGGCAATATAACAACTCATTTTAAGACCAAAAAGAAGAAATAAGCTTCTAAACTTTGACAAAATAATTTTCATGGAGATAGATTTCTATGTCATAATAACATTCTTCCTTTACCAAAGATACTGTATAAAAACATGTAATCAAATGATTAAAATCACAGGCTGTAAATTAAAATTTAGCAATAACATTAACCATAAGACTATATATATTCATTTAACAATGAAAAAAGAACAGATATAATATTTATGATTCTGTTGCTCTTAAAATATACCCATAAAACAAAGAAAGAAAAATGAATGGTGCAAAAGTACATGCACATGTTCTTATGCAATGTTCATAAGCTATTTATCAAAAGAGGAAGTTAGACATACTCTTGAGTTTTGTAGGGTTTATGAGATTACCACAGTAAATTATTCACAAAAGATATATTCATTCTGCTGGAAATGTTCCATGTTCAATATTATTAGCTTTTGTAAAAATAAAAAGGTTAAAGAGCCATTAAGGCTGTTCTTCAAAGGATTTTCTGACTTTCTAAATTCATTAGTCTCATATGAAATTACTACATATGTAAATATAACTTAGGTGGAGAGAAAAGACTTAAATTCTATTGGAAATATTTTATTTCTTAAGCTATAGTTTATGTTCTTTATATTTAATATTATATGTATGAAATATTTTTAAAATAATACATTTTTAAAAATCTAAATTAAGGGCTGGGGTTGTAGCTCAGTGGTAGAGCACTTGCCTCCCACACATGAGGCCCTGAGTTTGATGCTCAGCACCACTTAAAAATAAACAAATAAAAGTGGGGATATTATATCCCTACAACTAAAAAAAAAAAAAATTGAAAAAAATCTAAATTTATAATTCTTGATGTATAAAAGTAATCAATTACTAATTGTAATTCTAAACATGAAATTCACCTGTTAAGGTCTAAATTTTAAAGAGGAATTTCTAAACAAGAAATTTTCTAGTTTTCAAACAAATTTTTTTAAAAATTCTGGTTAGGGACTCAAGTGATGATGATGATTATGATGACTGTATCAATATTGACTAAATTCTCACTGTGTCAAGCACTACCCTAAGCAGTTTTTCAATCTCCAAAAATTCTTCTGAGGTTATTATTACTTGCAGTTAATAAAGTTAATACAGACTACTTAATAATAAACACTTAAAAATCCATATTATACAAAATCAATTTAATAAGGGGGATATAATTATCATAGCCTTCAAATTATTTTTTAAAGGAGCCCTTTTTAATTTTCAAGCCTTTTCTATTATTACTGCCCCATATATTCCCAAAGGGGCTGCTATAAGTATACCAATACCCTCTTGATTTTATATTTTTGTTCACATAGTTTCCTCTCCTTTACATGCTACTTCCTCAGTCAATGGTCAAAATCTCATTAAAAAATGTATTTATTATAGGCTAAAATCTTCCAAGATCAAGCCTCTACCTTAAATTCCACTACAGCCACATTTCCTTTCTTTTTTTGTAAATATCTCCAAAGAGTTGTTTACATTCACTATCTTCACTTCTTCATCTGCTATGCAGCCCTACAATCTGGTCTCTGCCCTAATCAGTCCACTAAAACATCACTTTAAAAAAATCATCAATAATCTTCACTATAGTACATCCATTAGATGTACTATTTAACTTCTCAATAGTATTCTACTTATTTGATCATTCTGGCCATTTTCTTTGGCTTCTATGATTCTAAACACTTCTGATTTTTCTTTTAGTCAACTTAAATGAATTAAGAGACAGATCCACTTGTCTTATCTTTCATATGTTCAACATATCTTAAACACATTGTCTAAACTGAAATCATAATTTTTCTCTTCAAACCTCATTTCTACTAACATTCATTCAGTGAAGCCAGTCATTACTCTTTCACCACTATCTTTGGAGGCTTTTGAAGCTTGAGCTACCACTAGTCATGCTATGAGACAGTATCAAAGAATATTTACAATTATCAGAAAAAGATATGAAAATACCCACTCCCATTATCAGTGAGGTGGATATCTTTCATATATTTACATGAATTAATCAAGTAAATGAAAAAGTGTGAAAATATTTGGTCTTCTGGAGAAATTTTATATCATTTTATAAATAAGTAATTTATATGAATAAAATATATATTCTAATAGGTTGAAAACAAAAACACATATGAGAATCCAGTTATCTGTTATTAAATTAGGTATCAAGAAATTTGCAAGAATGTGCATAATGCCAAAAGGTTTGAGAACCACTAACACGTGGAAATGTGAGAAAAAATTAACCTATATTTATATTGCAGGAGCAATGACAAGTGCAAAAGAGATATAAAAAATTATTGACCATAGCTAATTTCAAAGCCACTCTTCTGAATTAATCTGTTCAGATTAGATAAAAGTATGAGTATGCAGAGCCTATTATAAAGAATATCAAAAGTAAGTTTGTGTTGAATTTTAATGTACAAGGAAGAGGAAACAATTGATAATTTCTGATAAAAGAAAATAGATAAGGGTTTATAAGAAATATTATGGTAACACTGTATAGCAGATGTCTTGAAATACTATACTATTTTTCTAGTTATTCTAAAAAGCATATACTGCTGCATACTTTTACAAAGTAGAGATAACAATATAATCTAACATGATTAAGATAATCTTAAAATATACTTACATTTGGGCTCATCTGTCGTAACAGCCAAAATAAAATCATATGGAGTCATGAATAACTGCCCTTCACATTCTATAGATGCAAACAAACGAAATCGCCTTTCCCTAGATGTAGCGTAGAGGTCTAAGTCTTCAATATCTGTTCTGCCAACAGCAACCTAAAGTTAATAAAGCAAATAAATTTTGAATGTGTGAAACAACTTCTCATTTTAGAAGATAAATATCTTTAATTATGTTAATAGTAAATTAATCAAGTAGTGAAAATATTTGGTATTCTGGAGAACCTTCATCATTTTATAAATAAGTAATTTACATGAATAAAATGAATCAAAAGATTCTACTTTGAATGTCATTAAAGACTTGAAGATTTCTGAATAGGCACTTCAAAGATTTATTATTTTTTGAGTGGTTTATATCTTAAGTTTTGGTTGTAGAGAACATTAAATTACAGAGCCAATGGTACCTTTAGTGGAAACACTAACACTTGCTGAATGCTTACCATGTACTCTCTATATACTTCTTTATTTGATTAGAAGTCAATTCACTTAAGTCCATTAATTTTCTAAAAGGAGAAAGTAAACCCTGATATGCTGCTCATGACTATCACTAAGGTAATCATACAGAGGTAATGTTTCAATTAAAGTTGGAATTACTAAATCTAGATCATTATGGTATATTGGTAATACCACCAAGAGTCATTCTGAATTTTGCCTAGAGTCAAGATGAACAGAATTAGAAGATTGGGGGGGGGGAAGTCCTGTTTTTGTTCATTTCCTTATAGACAATTTTCCATTGTTATTTATTTTCTTTCTGAACTAAATATAGGAAATTAACTTTTAATAGAAGGATTTCCTGATTATAAAATTAATGTCTATACAATGTAGAAGCATTTTTAAATATTTATAGATATATCATATCATTTTTGGCAAAAGAAATGGAATTAAACTATTTATGCTATTCAATAATCAGAACTTCATTAAATATATCAGGGCCACTTTCCTATGCCATTAGGATATTCTAGTAGCTACTGCATATAATTGGAAGATAGAATTTAAAAATCAATAGATATAATTATTTTGCTTTCTTTTTTGACAAAAATGGGATTATACTACATACAGAGTTTAGTAATCTATAGTCTTTTTTACTATTAGGACCATTATCCTATGTCACTATTAAAGTAGAAGACTATTTTGAAAAACTATAATATTTCATGGTAAGATTTTATAAATAATAATAAACAATTCATTGTGGCTAAATATTCAGATGATTTTTAGCTTTTTACTATTATAAAACAATGGTATAATAATCAGCTTGCCAGGCGAGGTGGCATATGCCTGTAATCCCAGCAGCACAGGAGGCTGAGGCAGTAGGATCACAAGTTCAAAGCCAGTTTCAGCAATATCGAGATGCTAAGCAACTCAGTGAGACCTGTCTCTAAATAAAATATAAAATAGAGGATGTGAGTCGAGTACCCTTTAGTTCAATTCCCAGAACTCCAAGCCCGCCTCAAATCAGGCTTGAAAATATTTAGAAATATCCACAAATAGTTCCTTGGGATTAATTCCTATGAGTAGAATTGGTTAGGCAAGACCTTTTTATACATCCTAAAGGAGTTTTTAGTTATTTATGGGCTCACCAACAATATGTAAATTTTCACATATTTCATAAAACTAATTTATATTAGAAAAACTTCTTATTTAGGATGGCAAGTTTATTATCTTTATTGTCTCTATTTTTTGCCTATTGAGTCTTAAAGCAAATTATGTACAAAATATTAAAGTTATTTAAGTATCTCATACTTTGGGAAATCAAAACAAGCTATCCAAAAGAATTGTCAACAAAGAGACTATTTTTTTATTTCTAAGTAACACTTTATTAAATGAAAAGTCAGACAATGATGTTTTCCATCATTTTGAAGATGATGACATTTCAAAACATTACACAAATAATTAAATAAACACTAAAAGAAAGAAAATTTCACTCCCTACTTTTTCTTTCCTTTTTTTGCAGTACTGGGGATAGAACCCAGGGCCTTGTATATGACATTGGTCAAGGATTTTGAGCTACATCCCTAGTCCCATTCCCCATTTTTTGATGGTATGTACACGAAAAGGAATAAGGGGTGTCTGACTTTAACGTGTTTACAATCTATGTAGAATAACACAATACTAGTTGGAAAAAGAAAAGATACAAACATGGAGAAAGTAAATAAGTCATCAAATGAAAATAAATAGAAGAAAAGTACTAGGTTGATGTTAAAAAGAAGTTTTCCTTAAGAAGAAAATACAAGTTTATGTATTTTAAAGAGAGATGTACCCTGCAAGTTTATCCAACACATTTGAAAGATGATGATGGTCTTCCCTGGAATAGAGGATTTACATTCATGAAGAAGTAAAGGGAAGATATGGCCAGTTAATAATGATTTCTGAACCCCAGGCTAAAGCACTGGATTTAATCTAACAGAAAACAAAAGGTTTTGGAAAATTCTTAAGTGGAGCAATAAGAAAAGAAAATGGTATCTCGAAGATAAAGCAACCCATACCAAAGACAAAAGGGCTCAGTATTATATTAATAACAACTGCTCAAGCAATCCATAGATAATAGGAAATTGTTTTGGCTCTGCCGAGAGTAAAACATGACACACTAACTACCTAATGATAATTATGAACAATAATCTCCCTTACTAGTGCTAAGTTACCAGCTTAGTAACCTTGTATACACATATTTCAGGGCTTTCTTCCTCTAAGAGCTGGAAAACAAATCTTGCCTGTGACCAGTCTGCTTTTTTTTTTTTTTTGGTGGTGCTGGGAATTGAACCCCAGTCTCTCCTAAAGTTCCACTGCTTTACTTTTTCTGGGCTCCCGTATCTGCTTGTCCTCACCTACACAGTTTTTTTTTTTTTTTTTTAGTAAAACATGCTTGGTGCTTCGCCTACACTGAAGAGTGTTGACATGACAATCTTTACAGATTAGGTTACACTCTTGTTTGCATGTTTTGAAACCTAACAAATTTAACTTTCCAGCCTTCCAGATTTGTGCTTTCTCAGTTTTTTAACAGTATATATATTCACATCTGTGGTTTTTCTTGAAATTAAATGCAAAAAGAATTTTCTTCATTTAATACAAATGTAGCAGAAATCTATAATCTGTGAAGTACCGTTCTAAGTATTTGGGATACATTCAAGGACAAGTTGACAGTCTAGTTGACATTCTATTTCCTATCACTAAGTATTTGTCTTCTTAATGTTGTTGACCAATATTAAACATTTGTTTTTGGTTTTGTAAAGGTTTTTATCCACTCTTTTGGAAATCTTATGTAGAAATAATATTTATTTACAAAAACAGATTTTGAGAGAACAGTTTCTCATCTTCTCAGTAGCTGCTGTGCAGTGAACTGACAATTTATATGAACTCATCACTAGAGCAAACCTTGGGGGAAATAGGACCCCGGTATATTGCAGATTGTGTTCTATGATGAACATTTTAGTCTAGGTACACTTATATTATGTCATTTAAAAGCAGAATGGATACTATATTTTTAAAGCAAAATAAAGCAACAAATTCTTGAGAGCTCCAAAAGACTATCTGAACTTAGAGGTTATTCTAATCTTGTAAGTGCACTGATCTGTGGTTTGGCTTTAAGTTTAAACAAGCTTTGCTGTTGGAATTGCTAAAAAATCTCTTTTTTTAAGGAAGTTTGGAGGAATTGAAAAACTTTTTAAAACTCCTTACCACCTTATAACCTCTGAAATACTGTTTTATTTTTTCAACTTTATGAAAATAAGTGCCCCAGAAAGCTGATTTTATTTCCTTCTTCATCTAGCCAAGGACTGTGTGTGTGTGTGTGTGTGTGTGTGTGTGTGTGTG